TCCAGATGGAATTTAATTTGCTTTAAATAATGTGGGCATTTCAAAGATAAAAATTGCAAAAATACTCCTCAAAACCTGCTTCTCCACAGATTGTGACATCTATAGAGCAGTTCTTTCTTCATGCATGACTAGATTATTACATTAATGCAATAACCTCAAAAGGCTAGCATCTGTCAGTATTCCTAGAAAACATTCATTATCCAAGGAAAGAACTGTAAGTTATGAAATTGGCACAGGAAAGCATAATTACAAATAGCAATCTTTGTGCTGGGGCTTTCATCTTCCCATGTAGACAGGTCCTCTCTCACCTGGTGGGACTGCAAGTCCTAGAATTCCCAGCCAACTTGCCTATTGATTGGGAATTGTGGGAATTGCAGTTTAAAATGTCTGTTAGATGCTAGGTTGCCTACCTTGAATTTATGAGAAGTAGCTCTCCAGATGTCGCCAAGATACAGCTCCCAGCCACTCCAATAGTGGCTGATGCTTGGATTTGTAATTCAGGGGCATGGATTTCTCACTTCTGCCTTATGGGGAAATGAGGAGATTGGTGCTTATGTGCTCATAAAATAGGTTTCCAGATATATGGTGCATTTCAGCAAGATTGCCATTGACTCCAAAAGCAACATAGACAAAGCTTCCATTTTCTGCTTCATGATATTGTTCTTCTAAAATAACACATCATGTTAATTTCACCATGGAAACAATTGCTCACCATAGAGTCAGCTTCCCTCAGGTTCCGGCAAGAATAATGCAGAGTGCCTTAATAGAGAACACCAAGTGAGTCATTTCAACACAACTCAAGTCCCTTCCCTCTCCCAATTGAAATAATGGCAGAAATTTAGCAACAACTAAGAAATATTTGAGGAGATGGTCACTCCAACACACTTCTAAGCAACAGGTAAAAATCCAAAGTTTGGCAGATTCAATGCAATATGGTTAAAATGAGCAGAATCAAAATGCCAGATTTTAATTCCGAGCTACAATACATTTCAGTGACTCTGACAGGGTTGACTAATTCAACAATATATGTAGGACCACAGGATCTTCACCCCTAATGTGGAGATTCACATGGGAGAATTAATATTACTCTTTCATTTTATATGTTTTTCCACATACATTTTCAAACTTTGTTCATAAGGCAGTTTACACTTTCAAAAACTTTAAATAATAGTGCAATGCTTTAGAATAGAATAGAATAGAATAGAATAGAATAGAATAGAATAACTTTATTGTCACTTTAAATGTACATTAATCAGCATACATTAAAATGAGATGTCGTTGCATACAGCTCTGAAAGGGTAACCACCTCCAATTTACAGTGCATAAACATGACCAAAAACATATATGCAAATACCCACATACACATACATATGTGACCCAGAGAATCAACAGTCTAGTTCGGATTTTATCTTCTAGTTCAACAGCCCCCAACCTTATGGGCACCAGAGAGAGGCTTTTCCACGGACTGGAAGGAGTATGGTTTTGTGTCTTCATCCTGTGGATGGGGATTCACTTCTTTGCACAGCCTGGTTTCTGGCATGCCGCAGCCCGGTACCAGTTCTAATTTATCTTTTATAGTCTAGTTTATCTTTTATATTATTGCATTGATATAGTTGGCCGCAAGGGCGGCGCGGTAGCTCAGCAATTAAGATGCTGGGTTTGTCAGCTGGAAAGCCGGTAGCCCAGGTTTGAGACCTGAGCGTCATACGACAGGGTGAGCCCGTGTCCTCACCTTAGCTCCTGCATCTCCTGCCAACCAAGCAGTTTCAAAGCATGCAAATGAGATAGATAAATAGGTACCACTTTGGTGGGAAGGTAACAGTTCTCTGTAATGTCATGCTGGACAAATGACCGTAGGAATGTCTGCTGCCGGCACTAGCTCAATGGCCTTGAAATGGAGATGAGCACCCTAGTCAGCAACAATTAGTGGAGTAATATCCGATATAGGGACTCCTTTGCCTTTATAGTTATCATACAGTCAGCCAGATGTTTAGACTGGATTTGACACCTATTGAGTCCTTCCCAAAGGCCTGGCATAAACAAATGTTGTTGCTTGATGATAGTAAGGGTATCATTGCAAAAATGTAAGCGGCTCCAAATAAAGCTGCCTTTTGCGTTTGTCTGATGGTGACTTTTGTCAATGCTAATGTTTTTCTAATGGTGCTCCAGAAATTTTAGGATTTCACCCAAAGTGCCTATTACTATTGGTATTACCTTTGCTTTCTTTTGCCAGTAGAGAGCTTCTATTTCTTTATATTTTGTGATTTTCTCCAGTTCTTTTTTTTCATTTATTATTATTATGATTTGTTCCACAGTCAGCCAGATCGTTAAACTAAATTTGGCATTTTTATCCACCGGTTGAGTTTCACCAAAGACCTGGGGACAGACAATGCTATTTGATGGTATTATTGTTATAGTTGTTGTATTTTGTTAAATTAATTTAGAGCAGGTTGGACTGGGATGGCATATAGATTTTATGAATAAACAAAATGAGGGAAAAGCTTTGAAGCACAATTCAGATTAACTCTAAAACCATCGAAAGGGAAGATAAAAGGCAGAAAGAACGATTCTGATTTTAAAATAAATTTCAGTTTCAGCATTAAAGTATGATTCTATAAATATTAAAGTCATTTACTGAAATCTCTTTCTAAAAAAGCTAACAGAAAATGGATACGTGAGAATTGATCCACACAGATTGGCCTCATGGAAAGTTCAACGACCCCTTTAGAGATGCCACTAGATTTAAGCACAGAATTTAAAGAGAACAGTGGAAGAGAAATCATTAAGACTTTGTAAAAGAATTTATATGGGAAAATTGTGAACAGAATTGAAGGAACCAAAACTCATTTTTACATCTATACATTATAAAATTGTCTTGCTAGAAAAAAAAATAGGACAGATAGCTGCCAGAATATGGAAAAGGTTTGCCATTGCATCCCAATATTTTTTTCACTTCTCAGAATAGCCTACACCTCTTGGCTTTTCAGATTATATCCCATCCAAATTCCAATCGGTTCCGATCACAAATCGAATTCAGCTAAGTGTTGTATTCAGAAATACCAGAAACATATTTCTCGAAAGAGTTGTTAAATTCTTCCTAAAACAATTTTCCAGAATGAAATTCTTATAATAATTTCTCAGAAATGACATCCATGAAACTACAATATTTCACTCTAGAAAAAAAAGTGATGGGAAAAATGAAAGAATTATAAATGGAGGATACTGTAATCTGGACCCCTATTAGAAATTCTGTGAATAAGGCAGATGGATAGATGATCCAAGCTAGCAACCAAAGAGTGCATTCACACAATACACTACCTTGTCAGGTGTTCGGCTTACCATGCTGTTACAAGTCAAAATCATAGTTTAAATGATTGATAAAAGAAAGCCATAATCATATTTTGTACATTGTTGTAAGTAACTTTGTTTTAATTCTGCTCTAGTGTGTGAAGCTAGTTTATTTCCTTGCTTATAATTAAACATCCATTTATTCCTTTAGGAAAATCTGGAAGGTGAGCACCTTACATGCATCATGGCTGCGGAAACATTTTTGCTGTTTCCAACATATCTCTTCCCCCACGAGTGGCTTACTTTCTATCTGCAACAGAAAAAGTGTGTCATGATCAAAATTTTAGAATCATGCTTCTAATTTGGACCTTTTTTAAAAAACTTGCAGACCACTGTTTAAGATCATTGCATCAACCTTTTAATCTACAGGCTAGGTCAGGAATGTCAAAATGTGAGGTTTAAATAATTATTTTTTTAAAAGATGTGCTATTCCAAGAGCAGTGTAATCGTGTTTTCTCCCCCTTTCCATGTTTTTGCACAACTAGGTGTATCCCCAATTGATGATGCAAACCGGATGAAGTGGCGACCAAAATGTAAAACTATGGATCCCATGATATGATGGGAATAACACAAAGAACAAGCAGAATAAATAATAGAACTTAAAAGTCATTTCTGTTATTCTTATCTGTTTTTCATGGGGATGCTTTCGATGCGGGGGAAGCTCATTCCTTTTGAACTCTCATTCTTCTGTTGGATGTTAAATAATACACAAGGTGAGTCTGTACATTTGTTTCAAGTCTTCCAGGCAGACCCTAGTCCAGGCCTTTCTTTTAATAGTTAGGAATAGAATAGAAGACATACGAATAATGGTTGCAGGACTTGGGTTTGGCTAGTCTAAAGAAAAGAAAAAATAGGGGAGACATAATAGCAGTATACCAGTATTTGAGGGGCTGCCACAAAGAAGAGGGGAGTCAAATTATTCTCCAAAGCACCAGAGGGCAGGACAAGAAACAATGGTTGGAAACTGATCAAAGAGAGAAGCAACCTGGAATTAAGGAGAAACTTCCTGACAGTGAATACAATTAATCAGTGGAACAGCTTGCCTTCAGAAACCGTGGGTGCTCCATCACTGGAGATTTTAAAGAAGAGACTAGACAATCACCTGTCTGAGATAGTATAGGTTCTCCTGCTTGAGTAGGGGGCTGGATTAGAAGACCTCCAAGGTCCCTTCCAGAATAGCTTCTTCTACTCTCCCAAAACAAAACAAGATTGCCGAATGAAGGACTGGCATTCCTGGATTCCAAAAATGTGGTCCGTTCAAGTAGCTAAGGAAGTACAGGTCGTTCTCGATTTACAGCAGTTCGTTTAGTGACCGTTCAAAATTACAGCAGCAATGGAAAAAAAAAAGGGGACTTACGACCATTTTTCACACTTGCGATCGTTGCAGCATCCCCATGGTCATGTAATGCAAATTCAGAGCCTTGGCAACTGGCTCATACTTGTGATGGTTGCCATATCCTGTGGTCATGTGACCCACCTTCTGACCAGCCAAGTCAGTGAGGAAGCCAGATTCACTTAACAACCATCTTACTAACTTTAGAACTGCAGTGATTCACATAGCAACTGCGGCAAGAAAAATCGTAAACAGGGCAAAACTCACTTAGCAACAGAAATTTGGGGCTCAACTGTGGTGTTAGCTGAGGACTACCTGTGCTGCATTTCAGAAGTTGGGAGAAACTATGAAGTCCGTTTTATCTTCTCTCTCCAGCGGTTGCCCATTCCCACGTGATCTTATGCGGATCCCACCTCTCTTAACCAGTCTCTGGCGGCATAAACTAAGCTGAACTCATGCACCGTTGTGAAAACGAACTACTGTAGTAGCCATTGTATTATTCTGAGCCAGGACCTAATGAGAGGCAGAATCCTTGCTTGCTTATTATAGTACACCTATTGCCTTTTGTGCCACCTGATGCCTCTTGGGAAGGTCCAAACTATCCCCACAGCGACCATCCTGGGGTCAGGCGGAGGAAAAGTGACCGCGACTGACCCAAAACTATCCCGATAATGGTTGCTTTCAATAGCCCGACATTGGGCATCATGTCCTCAAACTCCCCCCTCCCCCATTTACTTATTCTACTCTAGAAGGAAGGAGCTCTACCTAATTGGTCGAACGGGCCCGCCTCGTGCCCAATCAGATTGTTGTGTCTGGAAAGGCAACTATCGCATCCGCCAGTGATATTGCCGACAGCCACGGCTACTTGTCTTTAAAAAAAAACAAAAACCGCAACCTGTGGGGAAAAAAAAATAAAAGCCTTTCGCCACGCCCCCTTCCCCCTTCCTCGCGAGCTAGCTGGTTCCCCCATTTCTCCTCCCTCCCCCTCCCCGACGTTTCGTAAATCTTCACCCAATAATGCGTTCAGACGAAAGAGGGAAGGGGTTAAGGGGGCTGCCTCGCTCTCCCCCCGCCCGCTTCCTCTCGCTCGCCTGCCTCCTCCTCCCTCTCCCCCTCCTCCTCTTCTTCTTCTTCCAGCTTCATCATGTAGGCACCCGGACCCCCTTCTATCCTTTTCTCATGGAGCTGGTTCCTTGACGTCAGATCTATGAATATTGCACGAAAAAGCCGGCTTGCGAGGGCTACCACAGCGGCTCGATGTAAGCCCGGGATCTATCCCGGCGTGGACCGTGGCGTTGGCGGCGGCGGTGGCGGGCAGGAGGAAGCGCTGATCGCCGCCGCTTTGGAGAAGGAGGAGACCCGGCGGCTGGTGGCCGAGAGAGGAGGCCGGCCGTACAGTGCCGGCGGCGGCGGCGGCGGCAGCGAGCAAGGAGGCTTGTTGCTGCTGCTGCCGCCGAGAGAGGAAGAAGTGCTGGGCTGCGCGCTCCTTCCCAGGCGAGAGGTGGCCCCGGGGGAATGTGACATCACCGCGCGGGTCTGGGGCAGCCGAGCAGGCAGGCTCCCCGGCAGCGCCCCGGCCGCCCTGGCTAACGCGCTGCCGCCCCCCGCGCCAGCCCCGGCTCCCCACCTCGGCCCCGTGATCAGCATGTCTGCCAAGGAGAGGCCCAAAAGCAAAGTCGCGACCAAGGAAAGCGTCACCCTGTTGCCTTGCTTTTATTTCGTAGAGGTGAGGATGCGCGGCTCTGCTGGAGTGGAGTGGGGGGGGGGGAGAGAACCAGGGGTCCCTGCTCGCGGTTGGTTGGCGGGGGGGGGAGATGCCGCTGCCCTCGCGGAAGCCCCGGCTGAAAGAGCAACAACCATCGGTGGGAGCCCACCAAGCGGGGCTGCGTGTCTGCCTGCATGTGCGGTTGCACGAAATGCGCCTTAAGCGCAATCGCGGCGTAGGTTGAGGGGGATGGGGATGTCGGGATGGATTAAGTGCAGGTTGGAAACGGCGAAAGAAGGTCTTGTCCAACCTGCCCAGCGGAATCGGCTGAGCGATGGTCTCCTGTGACCTCGCATTGATTCAGACAAGCTTCCCGAAATCTCCCCACCGAAATTTGCTCTTCCCCACGGAGATCTGGGTCCTCCGAAATCTCCCCTAGGAGATTTGGAAAAGCTTGGCCATCCTCGTCCACCTGCCTTGGAAACTCCACCTCCTTCTTTTCTACCGGAGGGGGAAAGGAGCGTTTATTTATCTTCTTTTTTTTTTTCTTAAAAAAAAAAGATAGAGGAGGGGGGTCGCAAATGGAGAGAGGGCAGCTCGATGAGATCAGATCACGTGCACACGGTATCATCCCAATATTGCTTCAGACAAAAAAAGGGGGAGGGTTTGTGTGTGCTTATGCCAAGCATATATTCTTAGCCAAAAGGAAAAAAAAAAGGGATGGGACGTTAAGTAAGTTGGAGATGGCATTGAAAGTAAATGTATGTCGATTATTAAACTATCAGTTTTGGGATCCTTTTTGGCAGAGGATATTTGGGGATGCTCCAGATATTTGGGATATGCTGAGAGTGTGGTTGCAATTTCTACAGGGTGGTCAAAGCTACACTGCGTAGCTTCATAATAGCAAGCCGACTAAGTGAGGTGTTATTTATTTGTTTGTTCGTTTGTTTCGCCCAAGATCTGCTGGGGGTCCTGTGTGTGAGAGACATAGCCTCATTTCTGCTGCACAAACATTCTCTTCGGCCCTCTGGTGATGTAATGTGCAGGCAGAAAAGGAATTCAGATTCCCGTGTTTATTAAAACACCTCAGCAAGAGAGCAGAGGGTGGTCAGGATAGACATGTGGGATCCATTCAACCCTTGCTTCCTTTTCAAAGTAACTCACAAAGCAATTTAGAAAAAAGTTGTCAGCAAGCATTGACACTGTGTGCTGTCCCAGTGTGAATCCCATCAATGCTGCAGGTTTGGGGCTGATATTCTTGGAAGACCTTTTTGATGATAAGTCAATAGCTGTTTCACACAGTTTAACCAATACCCGTCAGTGACCATCCATCGATACCTGAACCGGAGTGGATTTGTATGTTGGTGAATTTCAAACAAGGACTGTAATAATACTTCTGAAGAAGGAAGGATGAAAGGCATGGAAGCTGATGCAGATGAAAAGGGTATTTTGAAAATGAATCCCAAAGGTGCTTTCTCACGAGGCAACTGGACTTTCTTGTTTTTCTTTGAAGACGTTTCACTTCTCATCCAAGAAAGTCTTCAAAAAAAGTCCAGTTGCCTCTGAAAAAGCACCTTTGGGGTAACTATGACCTGGATGACCGAGAATCTCCATAGACATTTGAAAATGAATCTAAATAGCTGTGTTGCTTTTTATGATTGTTCTGAAAAGTCACTAAGAGCACCCTACTTGTAAGTACTGTTGTATGTTTGTCTGAGTGTCCATTTATCCATGCATCCATATAGAAATTTCCAAGATTCCTGAAGATTTGAAAGTGAAATTGAGAGGAACATCTCAATTCCTTCATTCCCTCTCCTCAATCTCTCATTGATTCCTTACCAACTAAATAACTAAGAATGCAGAAACTTGTGTGTTTCTTCCTGTGTTCTGCACTCATCTGAAGTCTGTTTTTACTTTCTTGAGAAGAACATATTTCTACATCAGACATGTCAAACACACGGCATGGGGGCCAGATGCGGCCCGTGAAGTGGTTTCATGTGGCCCGCGAAGCCATCCTGGAAACAGTGAGGGAACGGCCCCCACTGCCTTGGCCCTGGCCCAGGCCAGCCGGGAGTCAATGTACAATTTTGTGGTGGCCATCTATGCTGAAACGCATTCAGTCTTAGCTCCACAAGGCCGTCTAGAAACAGCGAGGAACCAGCCCCTGCCACATTGGCCCCGCCCCTTAGGTGCATGCTGGGGAGGTGTCACCCTTTGTGAGGAATGAAGAAATGGACCATGCCTTGGCGCTTGCCCCGGTCCCACCCCCTTCTGGCAGAGACCCTCAGATCTGTCCCACTCCTGCCCAGGCCCCCACAGGCACCCTTGACAGGAACGATGTAGAGCTGGCCATACCCACCCAGTAGGTCACACCCACTCCATCCACGCCCACTCAGTAGACTGTACCCAACCTGGCCACACCCACTCACCCCCCCGTGGGCAACCGCAATGCTGATGCGCCCTCAATGAAATTGAGTTTGACACCTCTGTTCTACATTATGGCTATTGTGCACTATCAAAGCTTAGGGAAACATCTGGAAATAGCTATTTGAAAGGAACTCTAAAAGAAAGGTCCTGGAAAGGTTGCTGCTTTGTGAACTTTTAGGTCTGGAGTTTCAGTTTAATAATCAGAATCTCACAGTGTAACCTAAAACGACAGTGTTGAGGGATTTCAACCTGTCAGGTGCTTTCAGAGAAGAAAGCCCTTAAATAAACAGAGCTTAGATAAGTTAAAGCTTAGATTGGTTTTAGGATATTTTTCAAGATCAGCTGCAACATGAGTGTAAAAATCAAGGACTCTTGGTCCTGACACACAGTAACACGTGATGTGGAACTAAGTGATATGATGGACCTACGGAAATTCAGCAATGTGTAAAAGTGTCTATCATAGTTCTGTGCTCCCATAAACAGCAGCAGAGAAGTTCATAGCACTGGAAATACAGCATTTTCTGTATTTTGCTTCTTTAGGGAAGAAAAGAGGAAGATGTGAATTGGCTTGTTTAACGTTGTCTTTAAAAAAATACTATGCATTTAGGGATGTGGCACTCCAGCTGAACTGAAATTTGTCTAAAATGCCTTTTGACTTCATTTAATGCACGTTGTAAGGAATAGCTTTCCACACTGTATACATGGAAAGCAAGTATTAGAATTTCACTCTATTGCATAATATAAAGAGAAAAAGAAACACATTTGCTGACTGTTATTTCACAAAAGGCAACTCAACAAGGCAGCCAACTAAGAAATTTTGGGGACTGGAAAGTAGCAAAGGAATTTTTTTTTTTTAAAGGGTGCTGTAGCTAGTAGCCCAGTGCATGATTAAGAGTGAAAAGAGTCCTCAAAATACTGTATACAGAGAAGGCAACATTTTTTTCTGTTTTATAATTTTTTGTAATAAGTTTTACAAAGAACAAAAAAATTAACACAAGCTAATAAATAGTAAGTAAAAGAAGGAAAAAAGGCAAAAAGTGCAAAAAAGAATTAAAAGAAGTTTCCAATTTCCTTTGTGGCAAACATATTATTAAACATAATATTAAGTACAAATGCAGACTGTCTTTTACTTTAATATTATAAAAAGCTCACTTTTTCTATTATTTAGTAATAAGTGCCTGATTTTCTGTCATGCAAAAAAGTCTGTAAGGGGTTTCCAGGTAAATGGGGTTTTTTTCTGATCAAATAAGTTAATTTAGCCATCTGTATAAGTTCCATCATCTTCATCAATCACTCCTCCATTGCAGGCAGGTTTTGAGCATATCTCATTGTAGTTGTTATATATAAAAACCAATTCCATGACTTTTTTCTAGTTACCTGTCCATTAGTCCCAAAAGAAAACTCTCTGGTTTCATTTGTACTTTAACCTTGAAAACCTTCTGAATTAATGTATGCATATCAGCGTATGTATCCATATTTTTATCATTTTTGCATGATAAAATGTTCCTTCATGTTCACATTTCCAGCAAGGATTCAAAATACCTTTACACATTCTACACAGTTTCTTTGTTGACAAATGCCAATGATACATCCTTAGAAAGACAACATTTTTTCATGTGGAAACAAACCACCAAACCTGCAAATCCTTCATATTTAACACATCACATGTATTGTTTATTAACCTTTTAAGATGCTCAAACATCGGGGGAAGGGGGCATTTTTCACAAGGAGTTGGTTATTTGGATTTTGGTAAACTAAATTTTGATTCCAGGCATCACTCCTGATTTCTTTTTAATAAATCAGTAACTGTGAGGAAGAGTAGTCAACTAGAGTTTACTTATTTTTTTAATCAATTTATATTAGCTGCCTTGTTAACAATAACTCAATGACTTAAGTTCTCTACTATTTGAAAACAAAAACTCTCTATATCTAATCTTTTCTATTCACAACCACCTTAAATTCAAATCCTAACAAGTCATCGCCAGAGGTGGAGTAAGGCTAACTTTTTCATCATAGTGCTTGATTATCTTGTTTGTAAACCGCTTAGTTAAGATGGGCCGTGTAGAAATTTGATTGACAGATAAATAAAATAAACTACTCAATTTTATATTGTCCTCAACACATGAAGAAATTCTGAACATCCTTAAGGCAAAACACGCTTCATTCTAGAGCAGTGCTGAAAATAAGGTATATATCTGTAGGTGTCAGCGTATCTAGGAATTCTTAGCAACCGTAAGTTTCATGTCCCACAAGGGTTTTGTTGCTTAAGGATTCCTTTATTTGTTTTTTAGATTTCCTTAATTAAAATGAAATGGACAGTTGCCATATTAGAAAACAAAACATTAGTCTCTATTTTTAATCTCAGGAGCTTGCAACATCCTTAGAACTCTACAGGGCTTTTTTTCTCATAGAACGCCCAGAACAGAGTTCTGGCACCTTTTTTGGATGGAACCTTGTAGGGTAGGCAAGGCGGGTTGTATGACGTGTATGAGTTCCGGCACCATTTTTTTTTTTTTTAAGAAAAAAAACATTTGAACTCTAAATGATGCATGGTTTCAGCCTACAGATCTTTGCTTGGAGGTATACTCACCAGC